ATACATTTACAAATTATTATTCTAATTAATAATTATTATCGTGAAGAAGGATTGTTCTGATAATCAATTTCGTAATAACATTATACCAAAAAAATCTATTACCTATAATCAAATACACCAATAATAAACGTAATTTTTGAAAAAAATGATTGAAATTATTTAAATTATTTATATATTTTGCAGGTACACAATTTAGATATAATTGATCAAAATGGTATTCAATTGGGAGGAAGAAATACGTAAAACGATAATAATGTAAAGATATTAGAGAGATCTGAGTACATTGAAAGTTCTTGATGCCAGTGCTATAATCTTGGATGTGACTAATGCAAAGCTCGTCAACAATAATGTTGCCCTAAATAAAAGTACATTAAATTCTGAAGGTAATATGATGCAACCAACAATTATGACGTTAGAAAACAAACTGATATATTATTGAAGATCAAAGTGAACATTCATAAAATGTACATCCTTTTATTGCATATATACGTAATAATGATCTAACAACACATGCACACTAGATGTTTATAATAGTAATGTTAAATCATTATTATTACGTATATATACTGCAAAAGAATATACACTTTATGTACGTTTACTTTGCAATGGCACCTTCAATAATATATGAGTCATTTTTCATGGTAATATGTATAATAGTATTTTATATATATATATTCATTTTCATTTCTTTATCTTTCAGTAATGATACAAAAAACTATTATAGTTTGATCTCTCACCTAGAACACTATATTTGATTCAAGATTTTGGAGTGTAAGTTAACAAGTTTTCAATCACGTATATCTTCATAAGTATACGTTTACAAATTATGATTCTAATTAATAAATTATATCGTGAAGAAGGATTGTTCTGATAATCAATTTCGTAATAACATTATACCAATAAAATCTATTACATATAATCAATAATCAAATACGCAAATATATGTAATTTCTGAGAGAGAAAAAATGATTAAAATTATTTAAATATTTATATATTTTGAAGGTACATAATTTAGAAGTAATTGATCAAAATGGTGTTCAATTTGGATGGAGGAGGAAACACCATAAAACGATAATAATATAAAGACATTAGATCCGTGTACATTGAAAGTTCTTGATGCCAATGCTATAATCTTGGATGCGACTAATGCAAAGCTTGTCGACAATAATGTTGCCCTAAATAAGAGTAGTATCAAAATAGCTGACAAGCGCAGTAGTACATTACAATAATAAAAGTACATTAAATTCTGAAGGTAATGCAATGCAACCGACACTTTCGACGTTAGAAAACAAACTGATATATCATTGAAGGTGCTAGTTCAAAGTGAACATTCATAAAATGTATATCTTTTTGTCGCATATATACGTAATAATGATTTAACAACACATGCACACTAGATGTTTATAATAATAATGTTAAATCATTATTATTTCGTATATATGTAACAAAAGAATATACATTTTATGTATGTTTACTTTGAACTGGCACCTTCAATAGTATATGAGTCATTTTTCATGGTAATAATGTATCCTCACAATATCAGTTACTGATTATAATAATAATTTGTAAATGTGTGCTTATGATGATACACGTGATTGAAAACTGGTTAACACACACACATGTGCTCCAAACTCTTGAATCAAATATAGTGTTCTAGGTGAGAGATAAAAATAACAGTTATTTAGATTTCAAAAATGAATCACATAAGATCAGTATTAATTCAAAAGAATTCCTATGTACTCCAAAATCTTGAATCAAATATGGTGTTCTATGTGATCAAAATAACAGTTTTTTATATTTTAAAAATGAATCACAAAAGATCAATATTAATTTTAAAAGAATTCTTATAAAATTGTTTTACCATATTTTTTTATTGTCTACTTTAGCGTAATACATCTTTATTATTGGAAGATGATGAAATGTTAAAAAACCTTGCATACATAATGAGGTATTCAAGTCAGACGTAAAGTTGGCAACTGTTGGTGTATGTTTACTTTGATGAACCTGGCACCTTCAATAATATGTGAGTCATTTTTCATGGTAATATGTATAATAGTATTTTTTATGCACGTATTCATTTCCATTTCTTTATCTTTCAATAATGATACAAAAAATTATTATAGTTTGATCTCTCACCTAGAACACTATATTTGATTCAAGATTTTAGAGTGTAAGTTAACAAGTTTTCAATCACGTATATTTTCATAAATATACGTTTACAAATTATTATTCTAATTAATAATTAATATCGTGATTGTTCTGATAATCAAATACACTAATAAACGTAATAAGTGTTTTGGTATAATGTTATTAAGAAATTGATTAACAGAACAATCGTTCCTCACAATATTGATTATGAATTAGAATAATATTTTGAAAATGTATACTTATGAAGATACACGTGATTGAAAACTGTAACTCACACACATGTGCTTCAAAATCTTGAATCAAATTTCTAGGTGAAAGATCGAAATAACAGCTTCTTGTATTTCAAAAATGAATCACAAAAGATGAGTATTAATTTCAAAAGAATTCTTATGTGCTCCACAATCTTGAATCAAATATAGTGTTCTAGGTGAGAGATCCAAATAACAGTTTTTTATATTTCAAAACTGAATCACAAAAGATCAGTATTAATTTTAATAGAATTCTTATATCAAATTGTCTATTTTAACGTAATACATTTTGTTATTGCAAGATAATGAAATGGAAATTAATATATATATATAAAATCTTGGCATACATAATGAGGTATTCAAGTACATGTTTCAGTTAGACTTATTGTTAGTCAAATCAGACGTAAGTTCGGAACTGTTGTCTTTTTTACCTTATTATTTTCTCAAATCTAATGACACGTATCATTTGTACGCCAAGTTAAATTCTACCCTTCTTTCTCTCCGACTCGCCCCACTACTCATCATTGTCACTCTCCTTCATATATGTATAATATATTTTTAAATAATTCTTTAAATCATTTTTTATATATATTTTTGATACATCTGTACTTTAACATAATATATTATCACGAAAGTAACTGATATTAAAACATCTATGTAAATATATACAATTTATACTAACTTCGATACATTGTGCACATCCTCCCTCCTCTTCCTCTCCCTCCTCCCTTCCCCACTACTCATCTTTTTCATTTTATTTCACTATCTTGTCGTGTAATATG